TGTAATAGTATCGAATCCTAATTCATTTAACTTATGTAGTAATAATTGTCTACTAATTGAATCGAAAGCTTTTTCTAGGTCTAGGAACGAAATTAGTATTTTCTTTTTATTGTCCCTCTTGTTATGTAAAAAATTTGTTAAATCTATTAAAGTATTCTCTGTTCCTAAGTTCCTTCTAAACCCATATTGTCCTTCAAATAATATTTTATCACTTTCTAGGTATTCTAAGAGTTGGTTTTTTATTATTTTTTCGAAGATTTTGGCTATAATACTGTGGTATCACCAATATCGGATAATACGCGGTAAACCAACTTTATACCTTACCCTCGTACGCTCTAGGCTAATGACTGTCTCTAGAATAAATTCAGATTAGCACTGTTAACCTTTGAGGTACGATGGTAGCGTTTTGTCAGTTCTTCGTCCGTTTCCTAAATTGGAATGACTATTATAACGCCACAACCAGAGGCTCAGAGCACTGTTCAGTTTGTAATAAACCTCATTGACTATAGGTGTGTGGGTCTGAGCACTGTTCCAATATTAAAGGTAAGAACGAAGAAGACTTTGAAATAATACTCAACTCACGTTTTTAGATCGGAAACACTTTTATTATATTAAAACAAACATAAATGAAACACTTAGCAAATTCAAATTGTCTAGCCCGTACTACGATCGACGTTTCACACGTACAACCGTCGTACCTACGTCCTCGCCGAATCACTCAGCGACAACGGGACTCCCTCGTGCCTGTGCGCACGGCGGTGTTATATATTAAAATCTTATTGCTGCCTCAGCACATATTGCTTCACTGTCCTATGTCAATATTTTACAATTTAGAATGTTCCCACCTCTATTACATATATATTAAATAATAATTTCTTGACGACTATTTACTATATACGACAATACCTACTAAATAGATGGGTCTATAATTTAAAAAATCAGTTTTATCTCCGCTTTTATGTATTGGTACAATTTTAGCCATTTTCAATTCATCGGGTACTATACCGTTGACTATACTACAATTAATTATATGAACGGTAGTTGGGATCACATTGTCTCCTATTTGTTTAATAAAGAGAGAGAGAGCTGTATAACCATCCAGACCTGGTGCTGAGTTGTTATTCAATTTATTTAATATATTTATGACTTCATTACTACCGATGGTATTTATTTTAAATATATTTTTTTTTATTTGATATATTATTAATTTTTGTTCCCAAATTAGACTGTATGTTATTTACACTATTGGAGAAATTTTTTTCTACTAATCTTTTACCAGTTGTCGCATAATATGATTTAACAATATTTAAGTAGTCTTTTGGTGATGATGTTGGGTATTTAATTCTCAATTATATCGTTAATTGGAAGCTTAGGCGAGATTTCTTTTCTAGATGTTAGTTCATTAATTACTTTCCAGATTTCTCTTCCATTACCTTTACATGTCTCTATTTTATTTATATAAAATTGTTCTTTTTCCTTCCGAATTAATATTGTTAGTTATTATTTCTATATGCTCTATAGTAATTTAATAATTTAAGATTTGTTTTATTCCTCTTAGTTTTCATATTTAGTTTATCTCTATTATCTCTAAATAAACTTGATGGTAAATCTTATAATTTAAAATCCATCATCTGTTATTATGGTACAATCTATGAATGATTTTACATAAAAAATAAATGGCTAAGACGCAATTACACTTCAATACATTTTGAACGATGGCCACGAGCTGGTAAAGATGTATATGTTACCGGCAAAGTGTTGAATACAGGCATTCTATATAATTCCTTGAACTATTTGGCAATGTATTAAATTTGAATGTTAATTTATATTATGCCTAGGAAATCTATAGATTTACCAGGATTTTTATAGAATGCCAATACTATGTTAGGTAATGTATTAAATCAAAATATGTTTATTATTATTATTATAAATATCTTTCCGGAATTGAAATTGAAATTGTTTTCATTGTTAATTAAAATGCGCGGGCACAACATAAAATTAAGGGACTACAATTGAAAAAAAGTTGTTCTAAATACCTACAGTTATATAGTTCTATTTTGTGTGTGATATAATTGTATATAGTTACTTGGTACCTAACCTTTTTTTGTACCATCATAATTATATTTATCAACTCATAATTACAATTACCCCTTAAATAAAATATGTTATATTATTTCAAAAAATTGAATACCCGTTTATTTCAACAAGTCAAATTTTTACAACGAGTAAATTATTTACTTTTCATATTTTGTACCTAATTAATATTTATATTTTAAAAATATAGAAAAAAAATTTTAAAATAAATTAAATACCTTTGAAGAATCCAGTAATCACGTGATGTTTTCTTTTTATTTTTACCATCTTTAAGCAGCATTAACTCGTCTAATATTTGTTGATATTTTTCATTCGATAAATAAACTGTATTTTTTGAATTTTTCCGACATTTACTTAATTCGGTATAGAAACGTTCAGACATTTTTATAATATAGGTTTCTCTACACGACAACACGACAAACACTCTAAGAGTGAGAAAAAATTATATTTTAAAGACGTATTTTGAATTTTCCCGTATACATGAACAACATAATAATAGTATTACTTAATAATGACGATAATGCATCGCACACGTCGTGCTGTACCTATATATGCGATAAAATAGTCGTCAAGATAAGCATTAATCATTGATTTCAAAGGTTAGGTGAAGTTTTATATTGATTGTATACTTTTCCTGCTTGAGGTTAGGTAATCTATATAATACCTAGTTATTGTATGTATTTTATACTTTTACTGCTCATTTTTGGCATTCTATAGAATACCTAGGATTTCTATATAATACCCGATTCAACACTTGGCCGGTAACACATATATTATAACAATGGAAAAAAAATTGAATTTAACATTAAATAAACAAACATAATGACATAATAATATAATAAATAGTTAATAAAACATAAAACCTGCAAATCATATTACCTTCCGATACATAAAAATATGTTATAAAAAAACTATTGATATCCCAACAAAAACACATCGTCGAATTGCTAAGTCAAAAAAAAAATTTCATCTTCAGCTTTATAAAGATACCTATGATATCACTAATAATTGCGAAGTACACTAAATTTAAAAAAAAAAAACAGTTATTTATAAGACTTACGCGTTATACAGATCTGATATCATGAATAAATGTGAAATAAATTAAATAAATCTATTCTATCTCAATGATTTATTTACTTTGCAAGAATTTATTTCAACAAACAAACATGTCTATTCGTAACTGTACTTTATAACAATTAATTTCCATTACGAATGCTTAAGTCTTATAAATGATTGTTTTATAATATGAGTGGAACGATGAATGTATTGATAAAATAAATTCTTGCAAAGTAAATAAATTAATGAGATAGAATACATTCATTTTTAATTTAATTTACTTCGCATTTATTCGTGATATAAGATCTTTATAATGCTTAAGTCTTATAAATGACTGTTTTATATTATGAGTGGAACGATGAATGTATTGATTTTACAATGATGTGTGTGTGTTTTTTTTATTTTTGTGTCTGTCATCACGGTTTGGCAGTAAAACTGCTTCGATTTTCTTCAACAGTATATGGTTCGACGGGAAAGTGAATCTAGTTAGTGCGTTTGGGAGGTCAAATTTTAAAATTCCCAATAGTTCTCACGAGCGCCTATAAAACAACATAAAAATTAAGGAAAAACAGGACATTTTCCACAAAGTCGATTTTGGTTTTTGGTGTAACTCTAAAACAAATGTATGTATATACATGAAATTTTCACTGGTTGTTTGTATTTCCATTTTCTATACAGGATAACATTTTCAAAATAATATGATTTGTTTTGTACTGTTTTTACTCATTTTGAGCTGTTTACGGACTTTTAAGTTTTAACTTTTTTAGTTTTTTTTTTCTCTATAAATAAGTTTTATCTGTTGGTCCCAAAAGTGTAAAAATTGAAAACAATTCTCCCGATAAATTGTTACAAAATCAGTTGAAAAATATTAAAATTACATAGGCACAATTTTTTTTTTTATAAGCATTTAAATGTCGAATTTTGACAAAATTTATCAAATTTAAAATTGAATAATTATTTTGTAGTTAAAAGTTTATAAAATGGTCAAATTTTATATCTAAGGATTAAAAATGTATAGCAAGATTCCACTTAAGTATTTAATTCTGTTACCAAAAAATCTAAAAAATAAATAAGGACAGTTTATTTTTATAGTAATTTTAAGTTCAAATTTTTACGAAATAACATAATTAAAACCTAGAATAACAGACTATTTTAGTTATTTTGTTGTGATTGTATAATATTATTCGTGGGTACTTGAAACTTTTCTAAAGTAAGTACACTATTATATATCTATGATGATAGTATCAAGGTTTGTTGTTGATGTATAACGCGTTATAAGTACTTAATGGATATTGAGATATGATTAATTTGGAATTTATTATAGGTACCTATTATAGGTCAATTTTTTTTAATACCATATAGTATATATTCGATGTAGACGTTTAACGGCTAAACTTGCTCCCGTGCTTTTTACTTATTACTCCGGTAAATATAGACAGTTTTTTGTGTTCTTTATCTTGATCGATTCTAAAAAGTGCGCTTTCAGACCGGTGTCGTTTTTGAGTCGGTCTGACCAATACCCTCCCCTCAAGAGCAACTATTGTGGTTCCAGCTTATACACGGCCGCTGTAGAAACGTGAGTTCAATCTTATTTTTATCGGTACAAAGTTCCAAAACCCGAGTCAGTCGTTATCGCGTTATCTGAGAGATTAGACCCGCGCACTGACCCGCGTGTTATACACTGTGTGCGTTTTATAGTTGTAACAACATTGATAAATATAAATATAAACATATACATCGTGATGCAGTGATCGTTAGCTGTCCGCTCATTAACCCACATATCTCATCAGCCCGTCTTGTTACCTGCAGCTTTGGTTGCCTACCTCACCTTACAAGGCGTATTTATTTAAATGAGTCAGAGCTCACCCACAAGGATCTCCACCCGATCAACCACTGCTGGCAATATTGCTTCTGTAATGCCTGGCAAGTCTACTAAATCAACCTCTTCTTCTTCCGGTCTGCTGACCCTTGATGTTTTTAACAACACTATGGCTGAACATCAAAGAACACAAAAAGAAACCCTGGTCCAGTGCAAACGCTTGTCCGAATCTCATAATGCTCAATTTTCTGAACTCAATGAAAATTTAGGTCGTCTGTCCTCTCAGGTTGTTGAATTAAAATCTGAGAACGACAAACTCCAAAAAATCATCTCTAGTCTCAGAAATCGAGTCCAAGATCTTGAATCTGCAAACAATAGTCGTCGTATCTCCTCGGCTGACACCTTTCCTAGCATTTTCCATGAGTTCACGGAACGTGAGCGCTGTTCTCGAAATGTCATTATTCGTGGTGCTCAAGAATCTTCTTCTTCTGTATTAGAAGATAGAGTCTCTAATGACGTCCTAAAAATAACTGAGGCTATCAAACCGTACTTTCCCGAATTACCATCTGACTTTAAAGCAATAAGGCTAGGTAAACCCAGTGATCGAGGTCCCCGACCACTCAAGGTTTTCTTCCAGTCTAAAGAAATAGCCCAGAAACTTGTCTCTGACTATAATACAAATATTAGATCTTCTCATACTGACAATATGCGCCATCCCATTTCGGTTACTCGTGATCGCACTCCTTGTGAGCGTGAGCATTTCGGTCGCGTATACACTGATTTGGAAAATCGTAAAAAGAACTGTGAATCTGACTTAGTAATCAAATACAGAGATGGACTCCCCTATATTGTACCGGCCAGCAGATCATCCCAGGACAGACGCCATCAAACATCGAACTCGGCCTTTACCCAATCAAAAAACTAGCAGTACTCGACTTGTCGCTGCCTAGGCAAGCACTCCTTCGCCTGAACAAAACTGGAAAAAATGACTCATGCTACTACTCCTGCTTAACTGATCCACTCTGCAATTGTATGTATAACATTAAACTTCGTTCTTCAAATTGCTCACGCTGCTACACTGCTAAACTAACTCTAGATTCTTTCTTGCAAGACTTCACTAACCTAAAAGCCTCATTTTGTAAACCTAATAATTTTTCTAATATTTGTAATAATAACTTGTGTGATAATACCCTTAATTCTAACCTTAAAATATTCTATCAAAATGTTCGTGGCCTTAAAACAAAATTAGTTAGCCTCAGATGTTCTTTCCCCATGTTTCACTTTTATGATATCATTATCCTCACAGAAACCTGGCTGACTCCTGACATAAGTGACAGTGAACTTGGTTTCTCTGGCTTTCAAGTAATAAGACTTGATAGAAACCATAATAACAGCACTTCTACCCGAGGTGGCGGAGTTCTAATTGCTATCAAGAATACCCGTTCCTTTCAACCTATTTCACTAACCGTATCTAATGTTGAACAAGTATTTGTATTATTGTCCCTAAACTCTGGCCACTTATTGGTAGGAGGTGTATACTTACCCCCTCGATCACCCCTTTCTGTAGTTGAATCCCATACCACTTCTGTTGAACACATCATTTCCTCTTATAAACCAAATTCCCTAGTCATATGTGGTGATTTCAATCTCCCTAATATCAACTAGTCTTCTGATGAATTAGGATTAATCGGGACTAATGATCCCAGTATAATTTCCACAACTATTATTGATTCATTTTCTTACCTTATTTTTCCAGCAATAATTTCTTTCGCAATAATCATGGCAGTATCTTAGATCTTGTCTTTTCCAACTGCAATAGAATTACAGTCAATTTAGCAACGGAATATTTGGTTATTCCTGATCCTTACCACCCACCTCTTCACGTGGTCCTTCCTTCACAATCTGACAAATAAGTAGTTAATACTCATACATATAAAGATTTTAAGGCTGCAAACTACACTGCCATAGCGCAATTTATTAACTCCTTTAATTGGGAGTTAACATTTTCTCAGTACACAATCGAAGATGCAGCCTCTGTTTTTAATGAAGCCCTACTTCGTGCTATCGATTTGTTTGTTCCTACAAAAATATTTAAATTGCCAAAATTCCCTGCGTGGACATCTCCCTCTCTTAAAAATCTTATTATGGAGAAAAAGCGAGCTCACGCACTCTATAAGTGTTCGAGGTCCCCCTATGACTACTCAGCTTTTTCCGAACTTCGTGCTAAATGCAAGCGCCAATCTAAAATAGACTACCAGTCTTATATAGAAAATACCGAAAACTCATTCAATCGCAATCCCTCACTATTCTGGAAATCTATTAAAAATTTAAACCAGAAAAACACAATACCTACCACTCTATTTTGGAACAATGATAATGTTGATACTCCTCTTGGGTCGGCTAACCTATTCTCTAAAGTCTTTTATTCTATGTATAACAACTCTATTTCTCCACCCGTCAATATTTCTAATATTAATACTATTCCATATAAACTTCCTTCTAATTGTCACTTCTCCCTCGACGATGTGCAACTTGCACTCAACTCTTTAAAAAACACCAATTCTAATGGCCCAGACGGGATTTCAGCACGTTTACTTTTTAATTGTCAAGATTCTATTGTTTATCCTCTATTCGTACTCTTTAGGCTATCTCTTGATGAGGGTATCTTTCCAGCTGCTTGGAAAACATGTTCTGTCACCCCTGTCTTTAAATCAGGAGATCCCTCGCTCGTTTCTAATTACAGGCCTATTTCCATCCTACCACACATTTCTAAACTGTTTGAGTCCATCGTTTACTCCTCAATCAAAAGAAGTCTAAACCATATTCTAATGGATGAGCAGCATGGTTTCCGTAGTGGGAAATCTACTGTCACTTGCAGCCTATCTTTCACATCATATATATTAAAAAGCTTTGAATCTGATTGTCAAGTTGATGCTGTGTTCACGGACTTTAATAAAGCCTTCGACACTGTCATTCATAGCCGCCTTATCTCTGAATTGGATTCACTTGGTATCGGTAACCCTTTACTCTCATGGCTCCAATCATATTTAAGTCAAAGAAAGCAATTCGTAAGAGTTCACGGCGTTGACTCTGACTTATTTATTACTCCCTCTGGGGTCCCCCAAGGAGGGCATCTCAGTCCTCTTCTGTTCATCCTTTTCGTTAACTCAATTAACAGGTACATTTCTTCCTCTAAAGTTCTTCTGTTTGCCGATGATATTAAATTTTTCTCAAAAATTACATCTCCGTCTGACAGTCTTCAACTTCAATCAGATCTCAATACTTTCTCTCTCTGGGCCCAGCGTATTGGCCTAACGCTCAACCTCAACAAGTGTCATGTTATGACATTTCATAGAAAACGTACTTGCATAATCCATCCTTATTCCCTTAATGGCTCTACTCTCAAGCGTGTATCCACTGTCAAAGATCTTGGGTTATTCTATCTAACTCCTTCTCTTTCCTTTGAACACCATATTGATGTTACTGTTGGTAGAGCGTTAAAAATTCTGGGGTTCTTAAAGCGCAACACTAGCCTTTTCACGTCCGCTACTTGTATTCGCTCCCTCTATTTTTCCCTTGTCCGCTCTGTCTTAGAATATGGCTCAGTTGTATGGTACCAGTATCTAGCCAAGGACCAATTACGTTTAGAGCGTGTCCAAAACCGCTTCCTTTCCTACGCCACTTTTATACTCAATATTGATCACCCACCCCATGATTACCTATCAGTTAGAACTTCCTTAAATATTCCTACTCTCGCATCTCGTCGTGTCGATGCTGACCTCTCATTCATCACCTCCCTCCTTAACGGCACAATATATGCCCCTAACCTTCTGTCCTCCATCTCTTTCCGTGTTCCTGTGCATTTCACTAGAAATCACTCTTTATACCTTGTCTCCTCTCACCGTACTAATTACTCCTTTAATAATCCATTAGACAGAGTGCTCCGCCTACTTAATAGCTCCTGATCTGCAGCTGACTATATTATTGTTTATCTCTACTGAATGTTTTTGTCTTTAGTTTTATTTTACCTTAGCATGTACTCTTTTTAGCTGAACGCTGTTTAGTATTAGTTTAAACTTAAGTCTATATTTATAACTATATTTTCCATGTATTTTATTTCATTATTATCACTTCATGTTAATCTACTAATTGTACAATGTATCTATAAATTGCCGTTTGGCGTTAAATAAATAAATAAATAAATAAATATGTCTTATACCTATAGACAGACATACCATCTCTGCTCAGAAACGTTTTTCTTATACAATGATATTATTATATCATTGAATTCAAATTTAATACCATCCATTATACAGTGACCAACTTGTAACCTACTCTACAGCAGAGCAACTTTTTTGAGATGTTTTTTTTCTATAAATATCAAAAACATTGTATTCGTAGGCTAATAGCAGTTGATAAATATTAAAGATAAGCACGATTTTTTTAAAATTCTAATTCAGACTAAATGTATCAAATTGAAAATAGACAAATTATTTAGTAATTTCTATAGTTAAAATTGTATTAAATGTTCAACTTTTATAGCTAAGGATACAAAACTGAAAACAAGTTTCCACGTATATAGGTAGTTAATTATGTAACCAAAAAATCTAAGAAATATAATATACACACAGTTTTTTTTTTTTTTTATTGTTAATTTAAGTTCAAATTTTTACCTCCCAATACACCAACAATATTCACTTTCCCACCGTCTATTATATAGTTATATAATATTTTCTGTGAATATGCAATATAATAACTTACTATTATTATAAATCATTATTTACTAAAATATATTTAATATTTAGGGTTTTTTTTTAAAATTAATTTTAAATATGTGGATTCGGAAAAAATTAACTTAACGTGAAAATAAAAAGAATTAACTCGTTAAGTTACTGAATAACATGGGGAAAATGTAACTCGTTAATTAACTTAGTTAAAAGTAACTTAAATTTAACTTATTAACTCGTTAATGCCCAGCCTTTGCAAAATATAATATTAATAGTACAAGCTAAGACATCATAAGAGTAATAATACTCGATATTTTATTAAAACAATATAATATCACTGAACTTGTTTGTAATGATACACAAATCATTATAAGTCCCCCAGGGGCGCCCGAAGAAAATCAGGTGAAAACTACTGGGAAATTTTTACTTTTGACCCCCCAAAGTACCAACTAGATTCACTTTCCTATATCAGAAAAGCTACTGTTGAAGAAAAACCAATCACTTTTACTGTCCCAAAACGTGATGACAGACACAAAAAAAAATTTAAAAAAAAAACACAAATCATTGTAAAATCAATACATTCACCGTTTCACTCAGAACCTAAAATACCTATCAATTAAATCTGATGACTTTTGAAGCAGTCTTTTATGCAGTAAACATAAGCCTTGCTTATATGTAAGTATATTATCAGAAAATAGATTACATAATGCATATTGCGGTAGCGTGTCATGTGTTCGAAAATCATGTGTTCGAATGCCGTATGTACGAACGTTTAGTGTACGAAAGATTGTCTGTACGAAAGATTATCTGTTCGAAAAGTCGTATGTTCGAAAGGTGGTATGTGCGAAATTGTCGATAAATGAAACTAAACAAAAATAATCGCGTTTTCATTATATTGGATTTCCCACAATCTTATCCTTATTGATTTTAGGTGGGGAAAGCATTATAGATATGATTAAAAGTTCTTTTTTCTGTCATACATCAGTACAGTTTGATATATCATTACAAAAGTATCGAACACAATTTCATCTGAACGTTGTTTTTAAATAATATTTTATACAATTTGTGTAAGTGATTTTTTTTTTAAATGGCTAGTATACAGACTTTTAAAAGTATACATGACAAGGCAATGTTACTTGTAAATAATTATGAATACATGTTTGATAAGAAAAGACTTCGAATACGTGATCAAAATAATATATATTATTGGAAATGTACAAAACGATGTGGAGCAACATTTCGGACAATATTTGAGCACGGTGAACATAAACAAGACAATTATTTTATTAATAATGATCATTTTCACGCACCAGATACAGTTAAACATCATTGCAAAATAATATAATTATATTATAATTATATAATTAAAACGCAATACATAAAAAATAATATAGGTATATATTGTTATATACTAATATCATTTTTTATTTACAGTGTCACACTATCAAATAAATATAAAATTATTTATTTATTTAAATAAAAGAGTTTTTTCTAGCAGTTGAGAAGATTTACCCATTCTATCTAATGCTTCTTCTAAATAAGGTGAAATATCTTTTTCCCAAGATAGAAGCATTAGTGATTCCAATCTATTTTGGCCGATGGTTGTTATTCTTAATATATTGTTTATTATCTTTACTTGGGTCAAGGAGTACCCACCCCCCTGAAAAATTTCTAGGGCTAAGCAATTGCATTAGGTAAACGTAGGGGGTCACACGGATAAATGAAAACCACGGTTAATCGAGACTTTTTGTAATAATGAAATTTTTTATTTAATTATAATTAGAAATAAATATATATATACGAATTTATAATATCGTATTAATAATAACCTATATATAGGAAAAATTCTAAATTAATGTTTTTATTATAAAACGTTCTTTATTATTTGTGATTAAATACCTTGTTATACAATAAATATAAATAACACAATTTAAATTC